CGATATCTAGTCGAGTATCGTTATTGAAATCACCAATAGCTACAGATCGTGGATAAGAGCCAACTAAATATCTTGTTTCTTTTGTAAAAGAACCGTTCTCATATCCAAAAAGGACACTTACATCATTGCTATCAGAATTGGAGACAACGATATCTAGTCGATTGTCGTTATTGAAATCACCAATAGCTACAGATGATGGTGCAGAGCCAACTGAATATCTTGTTTCGTTTGTAAAAAAGCCATTCTCATATCCAAGAAGGACACTCACGTCAGCGCTACCGTAATTGGTGACAACGATATCTAGCCGATTGTCGTTATTGAAATCACCAATAGCTACGCAATATGGTTCAGAGCCAGCTGAATATCTTGTTTCGCTTGAAAAGCCTTCATATCGACCAAGAAGGATATCTATGCTACCTGTATCATTGTTTACGACGATGATATCTAGTCGAGTGTCCTTGTTGAGATCGCCAGTGGCAACGGAAATCGAGCAATAAGATCCGGTTGAATACATGATTGGATTATCAAAGCTCCCGTTTTCATAACCAAGAAGTATACCTATATTGTCAATGCCATAATTAGTGATGACGATGTCTAATCGATGGTCTTGGTTGAAGTCTCCGACGCTAATTGCATATGGAGAAGCAGAACGAATGGAATAATTAACTTGGTTAGCAAAAGTTTGATTGCCATTGTTTATAAGTACACCTACTTGATGAGTTCCAGAATTCGCGGTAGCTATATCGAGAAAGTTGTCAGCATTGAAATCGTCAACCACAACGGAGTATGGATGAGAACCAAACCCAGTTGAAAACGTGATTTGTTTTTCAAAAGACTTGTTGCTGTTTCCAAAAAGTATACCCACATTATTCGTGCCATAATTGGCAATGGCGAGGTCTAAACAGTTGTCTTTATTGAAATCTCCAGCAGCTAATGAGGATGGAAGAGAATCATAACCTGTTGAATACATAATTGGAAGTGAAAAGTTTCCATGGCCATGTCCGTAGAATATGGTAATGCTGTCAGTTCCATAATTGGCAGTAGCAATATCAAGTAGTGAATCATTGTTGAAATCAACAGCAATAATTGCTATCGGACGAGATGAACCTGTTGACATCTCTATCTGCCTTGCGAAGGACCCATTCCCAAATCCTTGAAAGATGCCAATATTGTTATGAATCATTCACATTTGATATCATCATGTTCTGTGCATTCTAGAAAGAATCCCCTTAGTGTAGGTCACGAGTTCCTATTAATGCCGCTCTTGAATTGTTACAGCACCTCGAACTGGATCCGAGTGTATGTACGTATAACCATCGTCACTGCCTAAACTTGAGATGCGTTGAGATTAGAATGAATGAGCTCTTCAAGTTAATTTTGTTAAAGATACGCGTTTGATAGTATGGAAATCTATTCATGTTCTTCGTATTTTCTCAATTTGCACTTCAATATGAAAAATAACGGCTTACAACTTTCACTTCTGACTTCAGCTTCCCATTTTTAACGTTTACTTTAAATCTGGGAGACATTATTAGTGTAAATTAAGCTCTAAAGTTCAGATTGGTGAGAAGAGAAAGTCTCATTATAGTCTAGACGTGCACTGAGTACAAGGGGGAAAAAGCTGATTCTGGAGATCGGAATCAGTTGGAATCAATAGAATCAGGCAGAATCAACGGAATCAATCAGAATCACTTGGAATCAACCAGAATCATTTGGAATCACATAGAATCCTATGGAATCAAACGTAAAAAAATGCATGTTTCTACTTGCCAACCAGATTTTTCCATCCCACGGTCTCGGCCAATGAGATTTTTTCTCACGACAGCTTTAGCCAATCCGATCTTTTCATGCAGCTGTTTCGGCCAATCAGATGTTTTCACAGCGCGATTTCGGCCAATCAGATTTTTTATGCCGCGACTTCGACCAATCAAGTTTCTTCACACCATGGTTTCGGCCATTCAAGTTTTTTTCATGCTGGGATTTTGGCCAATCAGATTTTTCCATCCCCCGATTTCGGCCAACCAGGTGTTTCCTGCTCAAACATCTGATTGACTGAAACCATTGTGAGAAAAAATCTGATTGGCCGAAACTGCGGCATAGAGGAATCTGATTGACCAAAACTGCGGCATGGAGGAATCTGATAGGCCAAAACTGTGGCATGGAG